CAAACACGATGATATCACCATCAAAAATATAACAGAAGTTGACATAAAAGAGGCATCAAAACCTTCAAAATGGGCTTACTACGTGCAGTAGCCGATTCATTGCTAGGGAATCCTTAATGCTTTCTATATGGATTAATATAATAATAACATGAAAATGGAATTGATGTGACTAAACAGCACTCAATGGCTCAATGTGTATTTTGAAGCAATGCACATTTGTCTTGTCAATGAAATCTTGCTGCTTTCTAATAATAGCTTATAGAACAACAAAATGTTGCAATGCAACCCTCTTATTGCAGATACAGCTTTGAGATGTGTAGTTGTACCACCTTCATAATAGTACTTGGTACAACAGTTAGCTATGCACCAGATCCCTTTATCAGCAAAAGAAAGCGCTCCTGTGAATACGACTGAGCCCCAGTGGATATTGGTCTAATAATCTCAGGGGAACTGTAGCCTTCAGTCTCAGTTATCAGACCCTGTTAGATTAGAGAAAGGAGTGCAGTAATATCTAAACTGCATCATGTTGTGTTGTTGTCTTAGGTCTCTCTTTATGTAGTGTTGTGGTGTCTCACTTGTCGTGATGTGTGTTTTGTCCAATTTTATTTTATTTTTCCCCCGTCCCCAGAGGAGGCCTTTTGATTCTTGGTAGGCCGTCATTGTAAATAAGAATTTGTTCTTAATTTACTTGCCAAGTTAAATAAAGGTAAAAAAAATTTTTTTTATAAAAATGAGAACAGGCCATGGCCATATATACTCTATTCGGAAAGTATTCAGACCCCTTGACGTTTTCCACATTTTGTTACGTTACAGCCTTATTCTAAAATTGATTAAAAATATTTTTTTCCCTCATCAATCTACACACAATACCCCATAATGACAAAGCGAAAACTGTTTTTTAGAAATGTTTGTAGATTTATAAAAAATAAAAAAATTAAAGTACCTCACTTACATAAGTATTCAGACCCTTTGCTATGAGACTCGAAATTGAGCTCAGGTGCATTTTGTTTGCATTGATCATCCTGGAGATGTTTCTACAACTTGATTAGAGTCCACCTGTGGTAAATTCAATTGATTGGACATGATTTGGAAAGGAACACACAAGTCTATATAAGGTCCCACAGTTGACAGTGCATGTCAGAGCAAAAACCAAGCCATGAGGTCAAAGGAATTGTCTACAGAGCTCCGAGACAGAATTGTGTCGAGGCACAGATCTGGGGAAGGGTACCAAAAAATGTCTGCAGCATTGAAGGTCCCCAAGAACACAGTGGCCTCCATCATTCTTAAATGGAAGAAGTTTGGAACCACCAAGACTCTTCCTAGAGCTGGCCGCCCGGCCAAACTGAGCAATCGGGGGAGAAGGGCCTTGGTCAGAGAGGTGACCAAGAACCCGATGGTCACTTTGACAGAGCTCCAGAGTTCCTCTGTGGAGATGGGAGAACCTTCCAGAAGGACAACTATCTCTGCAGTACTCCACCAATCAGGCCTTTATGGTAGAGTGGCCAGACGGAAGTCACTCCTCAGTAAAATGCACAAGAGTCCGCCAAAAGGCACCTAAAGGACTCTCAGATCATGAGAAACAAGATTCTCTGATCTGATGAAACCAAGATTGAACACTTTGGCCTGAATGCCAAGCGTCACATCTGGAGGAAACCTGACACCCTCCCTACGGTGAAGCATGGTGGTGGCAGCATCATGCTGTGGGGTTGTTTTTCAGTGGAAGGGACTGGGAGACTAGTCAGGATCAAGGGAAAGATGAACGGAGCAAAGTACAGAGAGATCCTTGATGAAATCCTGCTCCAGAGCGCTCAGGACATCAGACTGGGGCAAAGGTTCACCTTCCAACAGGACACCAACCCTAAGCACACAGCCAAGACAACGCAGGAGTGGCTTCGGGACAAGTCTCTGAATGTCCTTGAGTGGCCCAGCCAAAGCCCGGACTTGAACCCGATCAAACATCTCTGGAGAGACCTGGGAGAAAAAAAATTGCTGCCAAAGGTGCTTCAACAAAGTACTGAGTAAAGGCTGTGAATACTTATGTAAATGTAATTTTTCTGTTATTTGTTATAAATTTGCAAGATTTTCAAAAAACCTGTTTTTGCTTTGTCATTATGGGGTATTGTGTGTAGATTGATGGGGGGGACAATATTTAGGAACACCTTCCTAATATTGAGTTGCACAGCCCCCCTTTTGCCCTCAGAACAGCCTCAATTCATCGGGGAATGGACTCTACAAGGTGTCGAAAGCATTCCACAGGGATGTTGGCCCATGTTGACTCCAATGCTTCCCACAGTTGTCAAATTGGCTGCATTTCCTTTGGGTGGTGGACCATTCCTGATATACACGGGAAACTGTTGAGCGTGGAAAAACCCAGCAGCGTTGCAGTTCTTGCCACAAACCGGTGTGCTTGTTACCTACTACCATACCCCATTCAAAGACACTTAAATATTTTGTCTTGCCCATTCACCATCTGAATGGCACACAAACACAATACATGTCTCAATTGTCTCAAGGCTTAAAACTCCTTCTTTAACCTGACTGCTCCCCTTCATCTACACCGATTTAAGTGGATTTAACAAGTGACATCAATAAGGGATCATAGCTTTCACCTGGATTCACCTGGTCAGTCTGTCATGGAAAGAGCAGGTGTTCTTAATGTTTTGTATACTCACTGTATATGCTATTTCAACTGTTGACAACCTACACAAGCTCACAGAAGGTGATCTGATGGGATATTTTTGCTATAATTGTGAATGTTGAAATCATGCACTGAAATGAAACTACTTTTAAAAATCATTAAAAATTAGCAAGCTCCTGGACCTCCTCTGAACTATGTGGAAACAAAACGTATGGGCCGCAAAAAAAAGCACTGGGAAAAATAGAGTAGTAGGTCTATATATTTGCTTGTTATGGTGACTTTAAAAAAAAACATAAAACCCTTGAGCAAGTTTTGTAAAGCAGAAAAACTTTACAAGAGCATTAGCGTGGAGTTGGAGGATTCGGAGCAACAGGAAGCGTGTCATCAGATGAAGTCCGCTTCTGTCCTCTTCCTCTCTGCTTTGCCACGCATCTGCACCAAGTTCTCCACAGTGTGGGGGATCTGAGGGTGATGCTAAGTGAAATGCTCATTTTGCGTTTATGATTACCAAGGCCCATGGGCGATATGCACTAATGTGAGCTAATGCAATAGATTACACAGCACTGGCCCTGGGGAACAGACAGCAAACAGATGTGGTGTACTCAAAAATAAGAACAAATATCAACGTTTAAAGTGTTCAATGTGCTGGAGACTGTCCCTTGTAATTTAGCATTGACAGAAACCACAATTATGATATGCTTTGTCAGTATCATCCTTTTTGCTCAGGATTCTGATGCAGGCCAGGAACAGTCAACAATAGTGTGCTCAGTGCATTCAGAAAGTATTCAGACCCCATTACTTTTTCTACATTTTGTCACGTTACATTCTAAAATTGATTAAATTGAATTTTTTCCTCATCAATCTACACACAATACCCCATAATGACAAAGCAAAAACATGTTAGAAATGTTTGCAAATTTATAAACAATAAAAAACGGAAATATTACATTTACATAACTATTCAGACCCTTTACGCAGTACTTTGTTGAAGCACCTTTGGCAGCGATTACAGCCTCAAGTCTTCTTGGGTATGACGCTACAAGCTTGGCACACCTGTATTTGGGGAGTTTCTCCCATTATTTTCTGCAGATCCTCTCAAGCTCTGTCAGGTTGGGTGGGAAGCGTCGCTGCACAGCTATTTTCAGGTCTCTCCAGAGATGTTCGATTGGGTTCAAGTCTGGGCTCTGGCTGGGCCACTCAAGTACATTCAGAGACTTGTCCCGAAGCCACTCCTGCGTGGTCTTGGCTGTGTGCTTAGGGCCGTTGTCCTGCTGGAGCAGGTTTTCATCAAGGATCGCTCTGTACTTTGCTCTGTTCATATTTCCCTCGATCCGGACTAGAATCCCAGTCCCTGCTGCTGAAAAACATCCCCACAGCATGTTGCTGCCACCACCATGCTTCACTGTAGGGATGGTGCCAGGTTTCCTCCAGACGTGACGCTTGGCATTCAGGCCAAAGAGTTCAATCTTGGTTTCATCAGACCAGAGAATCTTGTTTCTCAGGGTCTGAGAGTCTTTAGGTGCCTTTTGACAAACTCCAAGCGGGCTGTCATGTGCCTTTTACTGAGGTGTGGCTTCCGTCTTGAACTCTGGAGCTCTGTCAGAGTGACCATCGGGTTCTTGGTCACTTCTCTGACCAAGGCCCTTCTCTCCCGATTGCTCAGTTTGGCCAGGCGGCCAGCTCTAGGAAGAGTCTTGGTGGTTCCAAACTTCTTCCATTTAAGAATGATGGAGGCCACTGTGTTCTTGGGGACCTTCAATGCTGCAGACATTTTTTGGCACCCTTCCCCAGATCTGTGCCTTGACACAATCATGTCTCGGAGCTCTACGGACAATTCCTTCGACCTCATGGCTTGGTTTTTGCTCTGACATGCACTGTCAACTGTGGGACCTTATATAGACAGGTGTGTGCCTTTCCAAATCATGTCCAATCAATGGAATTTATCACATGGACTCCAATCAAGTTGTAGAAACATCCCAAGGATGATCAATGGAAACAGGATGCACCTGAGCTCAATTTCAAGTCTCATAGCAAAGGGTCTGAATACTTATGTAAATAACTTATTTCTGTTTTTAAAACATTTGCAAAAATGTCTAAAAACCAGTTTTCACTTCGTCATTATGGGGTACTCAGTGTAGATTGATGAGGAATTTTTTTTATTTAAATCAATTTTAGAATAAGGCTGTAACGTAACAAAATGTGGAAAAAGTCAAGGGGTCTGAATACTTTCCGAATGCACTGTACCTCAATCTGACGGATACAACCCATTGATTATAAGCAAATGTACAACCGTATTACCATAGGAATACACCACCAATCTACACAGATGTGGACACAGTTACGTTTAGTGATTGACAAAAATGTGTCCTTCATGTCCCTTTTATTACAAAATGCCACCCTGCATCAACATCAAATGCTATTATCATTATCAACAATATAAACCTGACAACACAGAGACAAATCAAAGATCTGCAGCTAAGCATTCCTGCACCAGTCTACCAGAATGTGTCGCCACAGAACCACCACCTGCCTGTGTGTTGCTAGACTCTTTAAGTTTGTATACACTGCCCTCTGGTGTTCACCTACAGTTAATACATTTTCCATACATTGAATGAACCAAAGTACAGGCTTGTGGACTAAGATGTAACTGAAAATATGGTAAATACTTTACACAATTTCTTTATTGTGCAAAGATTAAACAAATACACTATTCTCATTGAAACAATTACAAAAATGGAATACATTTTCAAAAATGTCAAATGATTTGTAAATAAATGTGACATTTTACCAAAATGTTTCATTTCTGCAAAGACCGAAGGTCTGAGTGTGAATTGGGTCCCTCTACTCTCGTTTACAACAACTGCAACAATTGCCTTTGATCTAAGTCAAAAGACCACGAAAACAAATGAGATCACAACATTGAAAAGTACAAACTGAAAAACAAAAAAATGCATGTATTGACATGGCCACAATTTATTAGGCTTCCGTACGCCAAACGTGGAAATCATATCAAGTACTGTATAGGCAGACATAGCATCTGTATAGGCAGACATAGCATCGTTGCATGAGTAACTTCAACCAAACAGGTCAAGTCCAGAATCGGTCACAAGAATTACCGAATACCTAAACCAAATTTAAATGTTAATAACATAACTTAACACCATGCTAATAATGACAGCAGGACAGGGGAAATCAGTACATTTCAGCACCTTGTCTATTTCCAGTGATCAGAGATGAAAACAAAATCAGACTTGAAAACTATTTTAGATTGACAAGTTGTTTCAAAGGTTACATAAACAGGAAGGTGGTAGGCCTTTAGTAAGACTTGAAAACCTACCTGTAGACATTTTCAAAGTAAACAAAAAACGATTATAACACTACTCGTCTATGCCCCAAATGTAATTGACTATTATATTGTAATGGTCGTACAAACGTTAAACGATATTTAACTTTTTACATGTAGAAAACAAAAACAAATTAACAGAAATAAATAAAACACCCAAAAATTTATACCAGCAAAAATATGAAATAACAGAAGTCTGATGTATCCACATTGCTTGAAAATATCAGAACGCTTTCTACATAATGTGCATTAATTTGTAATAGTTAATGCAAAAATGAAGTTGAAGCGTATCAGAGCCCAAATCAAATTGAGGTCTGAAACCTGAGACTGTTTTTTCTTCAGAGTGTACAATGTTTTGAGCTATTCCTTCAGTGAGCCTTCCACTCTCCCTGACTTACATACAGTATCAAGACGTAGTAAAACAGAGCTTCAGAGAAACCAGCTACAAAGCAGGCAGCCAAGTTAACAAAACCTGATGCAAAAGACTCAATAACAATCTCAAGATCCTGCATAGCATGAGCATACTACACAAAAAGTAGAATCCCTCAGGAATTCTGTTGATATTTGGTCCATGTTTTACCACTGTTTAAGAATAGTGGGTTTTGAGGAATCTATAGACGGAACAGAACCAGCAGCCTTTTCTACATACATTTAACAGAATATCTGGTAGCAGGAATCCCTGGCTTCAGGCTCTGATCATAATGTTTATCCAGGGAAACTACTACTGAGAGGCACATCAGATATTTTACTCTCAACTCTCCAAAATGCATTGGCTCAATAGTAGAAATGATAGCTACAGCAGCATCATATCGTCACAAAAATAACTGACTACTTGAGCGTCAACAGTCCCTAAACTGACTTTGAGGTAACATACATCAACATACAGATTGTTACTATAGCTTGTTTTGTAAACCAAGACGTCAAGCTGTATGTCAGATAAAACCCTACCCAACATCAGTGCTTTGACAAATACATAGCCCTTTGATTGCTGACTTATACAATCAGACAGAGCAGCATATTAACAAACAAAAAGGTAATTTATCCTCCGAACACTTAAAATAAATGTTTTATCTAGTGCAACCAATACCAATATGATATTCAAACAGTCATTCTTCAATACATACAAACTGTAAACTCGGTTGGTATTGGATCGATGTGTATCTACAGATCACAGTTGGGGTGGGTCATCTATGGGTTAAGCCTTTCCTCCAGCTAAGCTCTCAAAAGAAGATGGTGGCAGCATGAAGTTCTCAGCGTACTTCAAACCTATGGAAGGCGATAAAATATATTATATTATCCGAACACAAAACTTAAAGACAGGCATAGTTACTTACGTGGCCGGTGAAGTCAACCAAAATAATAGCCTACCATTAGAACAGCTAAGTACTTTTGTCAGAGGGCCCACTGTGTTCACTACTGATGGGGCTGGAATAGGCTCTCCTCTGTAGCATACTAGCTGGGTAGAGTGATTGCCTACTCCCTAGGAAAAGGAGAAGGACAATCTTAGGAGTAGCCCCAAAGTAATGTTTGATATAAATCGTAATAGTGACAATATTTGATATAGCTTTTCAACTCTAAGATGGAACCCCATGACATTTGCAACTACACTAACATGAAAATGGTATGAATGAATTTCACATTTATAGAAAATATAAATATTTTAGCTCATACCTCTTGGGTTGGTCAGCGCTCCATGACTGGGGTTAGCCACGGTGGGGTGGTAGAGGGAGGCCAGGTCACTGGGGGTGTAGGAGCGGAGGATGTTGATCATATTCCAGTCCGTCTCCATACTGCTGCTGGTTGCAGAGGCTGGAGGGTTGGACGCTTTGCCCGGGGCATAGGCCTGAGGCCTGCTGTTAGAGAGAGCGGTTCCTTGTGACGACAAGGAGTTTTTCACTTGGGGTCTCCCGGAGTTCAGCAGTCTGTTGTACTCGGTCCTAAAGCTAGACGTCTCAACAGTGTCCGTTTCCCTTCCGGGAAGCACTGAGTACCTCGGTCTCTTGCTGGTGGGTTCACCACCGAAGTCCATCGGGGGCAGACTACCGAACCGGCTGGAGAGGCACAGTTTAGCAGTGTTGGAGGGCCATACCACGCCATTCCAGTTTCTGCCTGGGCCGCTGCTTACGCTCTGTCCGCTCAGCCCTCTGCTGTCCGAGGGGCTCTGCCTCGGTCTGTCCACTACAGACCAGTTATCTTTTCTACCGCTGGTGTTGGATTGTTCAGCTGGATCTGTAAACCTGGACTGGCCCTGACTGGTGCGATGCTCCATCATCATCCTGTACCGCTGAGTGTCCAGGGCCATCTCCCTCTGTGGTGGTTCGCTGGTCTGGGACCGTTTAGGCCCATGAGGAGAGTCGGTAGGGTGGGTCTTCCCTGCAGATTTTCCAGGAGGCTGGGGGGTTGGGGATTTGGTCCGCCGAGGGTGTCTTCTGTCAATAGGAGGCAGCGGGGGGACATCTTTTCCCTCTAGGGCAGGGGGGCAGCCAGTGTAACGCTTCTGTTTAAGACTTCTGTTCTTCTTGGTTGTGTCCGACTTCTCCTTGTGAACCAGCTTCTTGTGCATGAGCAGGACCTCTGGGTACAGAGTGCTAAAGGCACAGGACGAACAGACATTTGAAAACAATGCGTTCCTTGGTATTAGGGTGGCGGAGATGGAGAATGACACTTTTAAGGACAAATTTAATGGAGCCTCAATGCCCTTGTCTATCTCCTTTCCTTCCATCTTCAGGTTAACAGGTACAGGGCGTTTTATGTGTGCTTCATCAGCAAAAGAGGAGTTAGCATCCGTAGTAATCAATTTCCCATTCTCAGCATTCACTTGAGCAAGTGGGCTGGCAAGCTTGCCACCAATGCTATTAAATCTATCCTCTGGTTTTACATTGGCACGAGGTTTGGTTGCTAGTCTGACATTGGGAGTCTGCCATAGTTTGGACCTGTTGGGGACCTGTTTGTCTTGTCTGTTTCTGGGGAATTCTTTCAAAATGGGAGTTGGCACGGATACCACAGGCTTATTAGGGATGTCAGTGTAAGGTTTGTCCTTGTGACGTCTATCCAAGTGATATCTCAGTGAGGTTTTCTGGGCTGCAGCATAGTCACAGTATATACATTTGTATGGTTTTTCACCTGAAAAGACAAACATGTAATTACATAAGCATAATATGGACCAAACAGCAAATAGTCTTCAGATTGATCAAATGCTGAAATCATTACATACAGCACAAGTAAGCCAATCCAACTTCATGTTAAACCTTAAAGACAAATATAGGCTATTCATCTCAACTCGCATTTCCCAATTGTGCAGCCTATTTCTTAATCATAATCAGGCTTCCCAGTATTACATAAGGTTTACCTGTATGCGTCCTGAGGTGAATGTTGAGGTAATAGCTGGAACGGAATGTCTTGCCACAGTAACTACATTCCCTGGAGGACGCAAGATGTTTCACCTTCATTCGATCAAAGCCATCTTCACTTTTATCTGTAGAGGAAGCAAAAACAGGAGATTAGTCATGTGAAGAAATCAAATAGCCTACTTACAAAAACTTGTGTGAAGCAAGTGCATTTGCACAGTCTGCAAATGAACAGCAGAGGAAGCCATTGTAAACAAATCGACATTTAAATAAATCCACCTTTGCTTAACATTAAGTTGATGCATACCTGAATAGAAGGCATATCCCTGTGCTCCCACCTCCGACCCGTCTTCAGACCCCTCCTCTCTGGGGGACCCTGCTCTGGAGAGCTTGCCATCAATGGAGGTGGTGGGGCTCTCCCCCTCGCCCCTCTCCCTCTTGTGCACCCTGGAGTGGAGAACAAGCTGGTGGTACGTCCTGAACGTCCTCCCACAGTCCTCACAGTGCGTCGGCTTATCATTTCGACTTGACTTCTGATCAGGCTCTGGTGATTGAATCTCTTCTGTAGTCTGTCTGGATTTCAGATCTCTACTGAAGTTTTCTTTAACACGCTTGTTGTCGCCTCCTTGGCCTTCTGACCAGATATTTGTCAGTTCTTCTTTATCTGAGCCAGAGTCCTCATTGTCAGAGCTGTTGTCTTGGCTTAGGCCTATGTCTTTAGCCACACTTGGACCAACTGCTACCTTTCCCTTCGTGGCAAGTTGCCAGGCCTGGTAAGTGTTGTACGGGTCTAGTTGAGCAATCCATCTGGAGGATCTCTCTGGTGTCATACTACTTTTCTCAGATAGGGGGCGAAGGTTGAGGCCCTGTAAAAAACCTTCTTGACTGAGGGGATATTCCAGTCCATCATTTTCTCTGTCTTCATCAGCCTCTGATTCTTTACGATGTACTTTACTGTGTTCCACCAAACTGTCTTTATCGGGGAAAAAGAATCCACAGGTAAAGCACATTTTGTAAGGCGTGATTACAGCCTCTGGGACTTGGTCTTGGATGACTTCATTGATAATAATTGGACCGTCCAGGTTCTGCTGGGCCTTTGTCTTATGGAACCTGATATGGTTCCTGAGAAACCAGGGTTCCTTGAACCGCCGGCCACAAAGGTTACAGTGAAAAGTGAAACAGTCCTTGTGTGTCCGCATGTGGCTCTCCAGCTCGTTGGCGTCCTCTGTGGCCCGATCACACACAACGCAGCTAAACACCTCCACCTCCTTTACAGATGGCAAACTGGGTTTGGACCTGGCCCTCTCACCTGGGATCAAGTACTCGGCCTCCACACGCAAAACGGCTGGTTCGAACAGTGTTGTGGGGTGCTGGGTCAGGACGTGTGGGCCCAGGTCATCTTGGTGTGTGAAGGTCTGGTCACAAAACATGCAGTCAAGGGCTTCCAGCAGGCTTTCCTCAGGCTGAGGCTCAGCCTTGTCAGTGATGTTACTGTGAGGGGTCATGCTGGAGCCAGCCCCTGGCATGCTAGCACCACTACTAATGTTTAGACTGTCTTGTCCAAGTCCATCTGGACTTTCCACATATGGCAACAATGGGTGAGTTGGCATTTCCTCCTAAAAAGTTGTGCAATTGATCTATATACTTGAGTATTCTATTAGTAAGGAGTTACTGGATGACGTTCCTGAATATCATTGTGGAATATTATCAGTGAATCATTCAGGGGAGTTAGGTCTTAATAAATAGATTCCTGTAGAAGAAACATGGAAGAAATAGATGATATCATCATGGCAAGGTGAATTGGCCTAAGACTTCTAAAAGGCACCAAGATGACTCAAATAAAACAGAAGTTCTCATATTGAAACTAGATATGAGACTATAAACTTCCTAGCATGATAAACTAGTGTGAAGAATACATAATTTTACTGCAGGTGGCTACATATTTAACATCATTCAACAGTTTGCTATTATTGCATGACTGGCAAAGCCTTGGCTTGGTTATATATTTTTAGCAGTTTGATAAAATGTGGAATAACTGGACAAACTAGTTGATACATGACTACATAGTTAAAATGATGATATTGCATAAACAGTTTGATAGTATCTACAAACAGCAGGTAAATTACTGGTAATTCAATGTCCTATTTTGGTTTCCACTTCTGAGTAAATGTATTCTGACCTAGCAGAATATGTTCATTCTTTGTTCAACAAGCCAGTGTTGGCAATCAGTTAAAGTTGTAGACCGTTTCATAAGGAAGTTACAAGTGCCATCCTCCATGATGAGAAAATAAACTCATCCTAAAATATTTGGCTTCTCTGTGTGACCCATCCCAGTCAACCACCTATTTTTTTTTAAATAAGATACAGTTCTGCTAGTCATAGTTATTCAAACCGGTCTCCAATTTGTTCTCGAGCGATTATTGTTCTCCAACGAATGCAACGTGATAAAACAAAAACAAATGATGCACTGGTCGCGTTAATCCAACGGTTATGAATCTGTAATGCATGCCAAATTAGATGGCTAATATGTGAAATCTTAACGTTAGCTATAGCTATTCATATATCACAACCAAAAAGATAAATCTTGCATATCATGGCTTTTCTATTGGTGATACATTTGGATATACCTTGCTATAATTGAATAATACAGACACTAACGTTAACGTTATCACTTTTGTAACTCGTTTTGCTAGCTAGGCGGCTAGCTACATCCTGCTTACTAGCACTAGCTAGTTAAACTAACGTTTGCTAACCACTGTGATACTCAGATGATCTGAAGCATTGGGACAGCGGTTTCCTATCAAACATTGCAAAGTTCTGCCAGTTAGCTAGCTGGCTAACGTTAGCTAGCTAAACACGCTAGTTCCTAATTTAGCAGGAGCAAAGACATCGCTAACAATTTCTGGACTCAAACATAGCTAATAAAACAGTCATCCAAATGAACCATAATTTGAGTTCACCTTCAGAAATACTTAGCTAGCAATCAATACTGGTACACTGATGTTTGTTTCAGATAAAACTGTAACACGAAAACTCACCAATATCTACCAATTCAAGCTTTCCATGTAAACTTTCGATTAATCGAAAATAGTTATCTAGCTAGTTGTGAAATAAACTGCGTGTTATGCCCTATCGCCAAACTAGTTCAAGAATAGTAGCTACTATAGTTCACCTTGCTACAATTGTTTGTCGGTCATATTGTTCTTTTTCAATGCTTGCATCCTCACTGTGCAGCTGTTGAATTCTGAAGCGCGCTCTTAACGAATCCGGGAGAGATGTAGCGCGTGCACTTCACAGCCCGAGAAGCTAGACAGGGACAGTCACGTGGTCGAAACTTTTTATTAAGTAAATTATTCTAATCTAAAGAATAAACAATGGTTTAATATGCTATTTCTCAAGGTCTCCGCTGTCATGTGGGACGCACAAAGGGGACGCACAACGTGAGACGCACAAAAATGTATCTCTTACGAAAGCAAGGTTACAGAACGTCTGTAGATATAAGGCCTGTCCAACAAAAGACAATAACAAATGTAATCATTGCAATGACGTTTGTGTCATGGGATGATTAGTCAGCTATTGATTTGGTCTGAGAGTTAAGAGGATAGCCCAAGATAAGATAATGAATTGGCTAGTGTGACTATTCTGTATAAGACTAAGGTATGGGCTAGTACAAATGTGTTTGTATCCTACATTATTTCAATTTGAGACAGCCACAGTTAGTTAGCAACTAGGCCTAAATAAAATAGCAATGTTTTAGCAACTCTTTGTGATAAGCAAAATTCTCAACGCCATGTTGACTACCTTTTACATGTCTCTCACTCCACTTCCCATTGCAACAGAACAGAGCACCATTTGGGGAGGGGGGATGGGGACCTAAAACTCAGCTACATGTGGGATGATGTGCTATGTAGGAGCAGGTCATTGTGCTTTTCAAGAATTGAATGATAGCCCTATAGCTTTGCCTTTAAAAAACAAAACAAATTATCACTGAAAAGGTAATTTGACTATTCAACCTTTTGCCTTTTTCTTATTTGTGACATTAGTTTGAATGTTTAGCTCAAAGGAATAAGTGGTTTATAATTAAGCAATAAGGCCAGAGGGGGTTTGGTAAATGGCCAAAATACCACGGCTAAGGGCTGTTCTTATGCATGACGCAATATGGAGTGCCTGGAAACAGCCCTTATCAGTGGTATATTGGCCATATGCCACAAACCCCCCGAGGTGCCTTATTGCTATTATAAACTGGCTACCACAAATCCCAGAGGTGCGTTATTGCTATTATAAACTGGTTACCAACATAAATATAACAGTAAACAAGTCTTTTTGCATCACACCCGTGGTATATTGTCTGATATACCACAGCTTTCAACCAATCAGCCTCCAGGACCCAAACTAACCAGTTTATAATCCATAACACACCATAGCCTACAATACAACAAATAAATACACCTACGGGATCTACCGAATGGAAAATGAAATTAATATCCATTCAAGCTATAAAAAGTTGATGGATAAATGTATTTACTCATAGAGAGTGTAAAGTCAAGACCAATACTTTATTCTTTCTTAGTACAGCTGATCACATTTCCTCTTCTTTTCGTCAGAGTACTTGCATGTCAAAGCAACGGCTTCACCCCTCCCCCACCCCAGCTCCTCTGACAGCTGGCAGTAGCATAGATCTCATTGTATTTCTCCTCTCAATCATTATGCCATTGACTACTCCGAAAAATCTATTCACAATTTGCTTTTTCACATAAATGATGTACTAATCCTACTTTACCTCATGAATAGGTCAACTTGCCCTTGTGGATTTTGTGAGGGCTCAAGAAAGTCAGGAAAGCTAACTAATAACAATCACACTGTCTTTGGATGTTGGATGTTAAGTCCACCCCACCCCACCCCTCCTCCTTCTACTAGCATAGATAAACAACACTTGAGTGATTACGGTTCTATGTTACAGTTTTGTTAGTTTCAGATACTTTGACTTGATGATTAATGAACAAAGAGATCTAGATCTTTTTACTTGCATTCCTGGTTAGAAACAAATATTACATCAAATAATTATATAGAATAGAACAATTATATGAATTATAGGATCTCTATGTTTTACATTGGCTTGATACTGTCCACAAAATAGACATTGGGATTAAAATGTTCAATGAAGAAAGCATTCATCACACCCTCCTAAACCATTTGAAATGCCTTTTTTTCTATTCTGAATGGTTTAAGGAATACATCACAGTGCAGTAATCATTGGGAGAGAAACCCATCCCCAGCTGTCGAGGGTGATGAAGAACAGTGAACAAATCCACATCGACCGCTGTCAGCAGGCATTTGCCAAAACATCTCCAGCAACTGGCTGGAACATTGCCATGGATCTCCACCCAGCCTGTATAATGAACACAGAAAGAACACAGAACACAAGTTGGGTGATAGTGTGGAGAACCACCACAGCCAATTGGGACATGTCCAACTCCCGCTGTGATCTACAGAGCAGGTTAAGAACATGTCCTTAGGAAGTGTACTCTGAGTGACAACATTTTGATGTCTCAAAAGTCCACCAGGCTTGTGTCAGAAATGTGAATTTAGGCTGCATAACACAGCTATGTCAGAATGAAAAACTATTCCGAAAAAACATTCACAGAGCAGTCATTTATTTCTGCCACTGTTGATACATGAATAGTGTGTGTTAACAGCCAAATAGATTTGAAACGTCTCATTTCTATATTCAAATTACGTTTTTGATCATAGTTTCATGTGATCATTGCTTTATCTATTTGACCTATGCAAATGTCTTGAACTGAACATATGGCCAAGGAGGGGATTCTATTCTATCCTTCACCAACAGGTTGCTTATTGTTGAATGAAGTAGCAATACTGTACCTTTTTTACTTTAATTGTATGAAACAACATTAGGGAGTTGCTTGCTCTTTTTAGCCTTTTTTATATCCTTGCTTAATCCTGAGTTCCTGTCATACAAATAAGTCTAGAATGTTAATCAAAGGCACCACATGTCACGTGACACGCACTGTGTCCTCCCGCTCATTTCCATTGTTCCCTAGCCACAAAGGCTTTGTGAAAAGCTAGCAATCTGGAATGGCAGTATTATGTCTGAGAATCATTTAACGGTCTCAACATGAAATAGCATTTGGTCCTGGTGCAAAACTTGTTGCTTACAGGTTGTATTGTCCAATGATCCTAACAAAAAAAATATACCAAGCATAAAAAGTTGCTCTCTTTAGTCAATAATTTAGGGGACAATAGAGCACACTGTCTGCCTCTGGCTTGAGTTGCAAAAAGACACAAAATAGCATATGCCAACATCCTATTGGCAAAATGAAAGAAATAATAGACATGATTGTTTTTATTTACAGACATTTAGAATAGAATAGAATATAATAGAATAGAATAGAATAACCTCCATTTTCCCAGAGGGAATTTCAATTTATTGTTGGTACAATGTTGGAGCTAATATCAGCCTCTGTTTTACAAAAGAAGAAAACAAAACAAATTGTATTATAGACTTGGTGAGAGTGGTGTGCATATAATCTTTTAGCATATTAGCAAAACAAATAATGATTTTGTATTCAGCTCACAGCACTAATATGTGATGGAGGGATGGGTGCATGGGTGAGTTCCTGCTAACAGACTATGCATGTAGAATTGTTTTTGTCTGCATGTGCCAGGAGCAGCTGACTGCATTGTTCCCTTCCAGACTCAGGGATCAGCTTCCTTTATGATCATACCGATGTCGGATCTTAATTTGATCACCCTGTTGCAGGATAACTTTACTGCAATGCAGGAAATGTAAAACTTGTAGTGTAATTGAGGTTTAAAAAGGCTTCTGAAGTTTGTTATTTTCACTTTGAAATTTCAGACTTGATTTTCCCTTAGCAAAATAGATCAACCCCTACAAAAATCTCCATTAATTATAATCCACTTAATAATTCACATTTCTTGTTGTTGCAGGATTATTGTCCTGCTTTAGCAAACTGGCTCAAATTAAGATTCTACGTCTGTAGTGCTGCTCCATCTGAAAGACACTGATAATACTGTATATAATCCCTCTGTTAACCCAGATGGTCATGATCAGTTCTCTATAGCTGTTTTCATCATAAATTGTAAGGCTATCAGAAGGATAATTATTTTTACAACATAAGGTACGAGAGTTGTAGTTTGATATTCTAAACTGGTCAAGATTAGTTAAATTAGTCATCTGCTTGATAGAGAATAGTTTTATTGTGTTGACTGCCCTCTTGTGGCAGAAATGTTAATGCATTAATGGATTGGCTGTTCGGAAATACAATTATTATTTCCTGTATTGCTGTAAAGACCCCAAACACATTATGAATGCCATGTATGTTATCGTCATGGGAATACAGACCTTGGATTGATCACTTTAGATCTTCAAAGCCAGAAAGAAAACGTAATATGGTATATGTCAAAGAGAATGCATCCCATAGATTAACACTATTAAATATTGGGAGAGTTATTACACATCATGAGCTATAACGTCAACAACACTCTAAACAATGTGGTTAGCCATGTCCTCCCAGTTCCCTCAAACCAGGAAGATCAGTGACTCAACTCAAAAGACTGTGACAATAACACACCCTCCGGTGCCACACCTCCATAGAGCAACTCTGTGTATCTACATCTGAATACTATACATCCACATTATGCTCAATAATATATAATAAATAATATATGCCATTTAGCACACTTATCCAAAGCGACTTACAGTCATACGTGCATGCATGCACATACAATCATGCAATGGCCTGCTGATATATACTCTTGACAATGCAGTATATTAGTACTTAGTTTAACATCGTCTGGTGGTTGGAAATTGCCATTAACCTGCTATTAGGAGGCCTGGGAATAAGTTGAGTCTTCCTTGGTCCTTGTAATGTGATCCCCCATGCCTCCCTGTGGACATGCTGCTGCAGAGCAGAGCAGTGCAGCGCTGCACGGCCATGACACACATTAGTGTTGACAGTAGGCCTCCCCAGTTCCCATAGGCCTCCCAGGCAGCCCACTGTTCCCTTGGCTTGGCCCTCCTACCCCCTCTGGATCCTCTGGGCTGTGTGCTGTGTGCTGCATTCATTCACACACTCACACGTATTGTCCTGTGATGAACTGAAGCAGCATGTTCATAGATCAGCTCCTCTGAGGAATATTTACGGGAATTATTTGGGTTAAATCTTCCTATTCCACACTATTTCAGAGTTAGGTGTTTACCACCATCAGCCTTCCTGCTTACTGTAGAAGCACCTCAACATTGACGGAGTGTAAGAGCATTACAGTACAGTGGAATAATGATTCACTACACTCTCTGACAAAAGGGTAGAACCATTTTTGGTTCCTCGTAGAACTCTTTCGGGTTCCATGTAGAAGCCTCTGTGGAAAGGGTTTTACATGGAACTCAAAAGGGTTCTACCTCGAACCAGAAAGGGTTCTCCGAATGGTTCTCCTATGGGGATAGCCTAATAAGCCTTTTAGGTTCTAGATAGCACCTTTTTTCTAAGAGTATATTCATGAATGAGTATGAGTGAACAAAACGGTTCCATATCTGACATTATACATATTCAAGAGTGTGTACAGTATGTACTGCCACAAAGGTGGAGTCACAGTAAGTTCAGATACATCAGTTTATGCATGATCAAAAAGTCTCCCACTTTTCATAGCTGACTGTGTAGTTTGAAGTCATTAGTCAAAGCACATTTAGAAAATAGTTTCTGTATTTCTCCTGGTCCATCATGTGCTACCATTTACTACATCTCTTCTGAAAATAATACGAATTAACTCAGTTCTCTCAGACACATTAGTATGATATGGTTACTGCCAAAGCAAAATGTGATATTTCCGCAGGGAAAAGGACAGACAATGGGAACAAATAAAATGTCTAGTGTAGTACTACCCTACGTCTCTCTCTCTCTCTCTCTCTCTCTCTCTCTCTCTCTCTCTCTCTCTCTCTCTCTCTCTCTCTCTCTCTCTCTCGCTCTCTCTCTCTCTCTCTCTCTCTCTCTCTCTCTCCCTCCCTCTCTCTCTCTCTCTACTTTATGGCAATGATGCACAATTTGAAGCGATTACAGGGGGCAATGCAAGAACATTGCTTCAGATAACAAAGGAGCAGTGTGAGTTGTGCCTTCAGGGACGGCAACTCATCACTTAATGGTGGATGATCTCAGACACAGCTATCTAAAACACATTTCTCCACAGACAGACGACTCCATGATGGGGCACTTTAAAAAGATTAGGGAGTCACTTCTCTATCACAGGCAGCTGCTAATATCAGCTGCAAATATAATTTGCCTGTGAGGATTTTTCATACACACTCTCTCAGGCTCTCATATAACAAGAATACCTGACCAATGCCATAACAATCAAAGCCGTTGCTTGGGTGATTAGCAAGGGTGTTGTTCAGTGTTTTCAAGTTGTATGTATTCAATGAGGTGTGGCCTTAAAACATACTGTAAGACAGCTTGGCTTCTGACTTCAGTCATGCAAGATAAACTTGTTGGGTCATGTCTTTTTCAGTTATTGCAACACTTGGAAAATCCTGTTTGATGATAACATAAAATCAATATATTAGAGGGTCATTTAAGTTAACCCTAAATATTTGGATTCCAATTTTGGCCTAAATTGAGACATAGAAAACAAGGAAATAAATACTATATACATGTATTCTCTTTAAACAGTTACAGAAAAAGTGCTTTAATAAAACAAATATAATGTTATGGTATCATATATTTGTGAAGGGTTGACACAGGAAATAATCTATTTGCAGATTCTATATATAATCAATAAATGCAGAAATAAACAGACATGATCCCAAAAATGATAACAGTGTTCATACAGGCACACATACAGTATGTAAAACAGTGCAATCAAATGAAAACTTACCGCCATTCTTAGGAAAACTCATAGGAAAATGTTAATCAGCTTTGATTCCTGACTATGCAATGTTAGCTCTATAGACTACCAGATGATATGTGCAGCCCAACAAACGTAACGATTGTGATGTCCCCCTGTGTATGATTATAATCATAAATTGTATATTTATATATTATATATATTATATTATATATATAATATATTGTATATATTATATTTATCATAAATGATATATTTGCATCCATGTACAGTTCCTGCAAAGTTAAAAAGGACATTGTAAAGTGCACATGTTTAGCCTTAATGAAAACATAATCAAAATGTCACCAACTCCTCCATTACATGTTGAGTATATTCCAATATTATCTCTCTATTCCAAGCTGAGCTTTATGCATCTATTCTACAAACCATCCTAGGAACTTATCTGAAACCATTGTATGTACTCCACATGTTATTTCAGACTAGTTATGTTTTTACACAAAGTGAAAGAAATCAAGCAAAATGTTTTATATTGCGTTAGATCATTAGATACATTAATCTGTCAAAGCCAGGTTAAATACTCTATAATTTACAAAGAAAGAGGTCAAGTTTAACAGCACAGGCTATAGAAAATGGATGTTGCTCCCAGTACAAGTCACTAACCACACGTTTTTCTACCTATCAAGCCTTTCAACCAAAACATATATTTGACCTCCTTGACAAAGAACAACTCTCTGAAATCCTCCACAAAGACTAGACCAGACCAGTCTACAGCCTCTGTCCCTCAAAGAACCTCGCTCTTACCACCATCTCTTCAATAGTGCGATCAGATGACCAAACATTATGTATCTAACAAATAAAAAGTTCATTTCCAAATGATTTTGGGGGGGCAAATAAGGGGTGTTTCCTTTTTATTTGGTCTTCTCTGGTTCTGTTTGTACTCCTGCGTCTGACTGGCGTTTCCCCTGCAAGGAAAGGAACGTTTTTTTAAAACTTATCAATGTAACGTTAGAACTTTATATGAGAACTTACAGTTGCTTTCCACACATTACTTTTCCATAAGCGATATCTCTCAACAACATGTCATTGTAAAGAATGGCTCACAGTCATAGTAAGTTGCTGAGGCCGTCTAGTGGTGGCACATTTGATTAAGAGCAGAATTGCCAATTCAGCCTACCAGGTTTTTGAAGAACAAGTGGATGGAGTTCCTCTTCTCCAGCCTCTTAGGGAGGACGGGGGAATTCTCCCCACCCTCTGAGGGTCCTGATGCTGGCTTGCTGTCCACAGCAGGGATCTCTGGGGCCTTTGGTTCTTCCTTGGCTACACTTGGGCCAGCTGCGGCTTCTGCAGCTAGGGCTGGGGCTGGGGCTGGGGCTTCCTTTTTGGGTTTAGAAGCCTGATTGAATTACGACAAATAATCAAAAGATACATTTCAGAGTGTAATTTGTATCATGTAAATGTTCATCGTAAAGCCATGTCTGGATCCAAAGCTGTATTATGACGTTGCCTCCTTTCTCTCACCAGGTAAAGCTGAGCCCACACATTAATACATTGACTAGCACAATACAAGAGCACAATTGATGCAATGAAATAATGACTAGACTAATGGGAATATTGTTCTGGCTGGTAAAGATATGATTTATGGAAATTATAAATGGAAAAACTATCACTAGTCTAACCAGCTGTTTTTGGATCATGTGTATGCAACAGATATCAATTGATGTACCAAATAATGTACATTATTTGCACAGGATATTTCAATATGGTAGTACCAGCATAAGCTGAACTTAGTGAGATCACTCTTGTTAATTTCACACTGGCTGTCAGGTATGGTCATTTACCCCTTTGAAAGGTTTCTTGAGGAGTCGGACTCCACTTGTTGAAGCCGTCTGGACTTTTGAAGCCATTTGGTTTAGGAGGTCCTCAAATTCACACCATTCCGTTATTGTTTATCACATTTGCACATTTTCCTGTCTTTCCAAAATAACATGCATGTGTAGTTCCCGTTGAGAACCAAAGTGGGATGTAAGTAAAATATCTGCCTTACCTTGGGCTTGAAAAGAGAAAAGGAGGATTTGGCTGCAGCCGGTTTCTTCTCCTCTTCCGGTGCAGGTGCCGGTGGTGGTTTTGGTTTGGCAGAGGCCTCCAGAGTAGCCGTCTTTGAGGCATCTATCTTCTTTATCAAAACAGCAGAAGAGAAAAACGTAGTTATGAGCCCTTCTCAGGATTAAGGTGGGTATAAAGGCAAAAAATATATATCCGCCACCTGGAAGAACCAGAAAAGAACCCACCAAACTGATAAGAAAGACATGAGGGGGATGAAAAGCTTTAATCTGGAAACAAAACTGGTACTGTGAAAGAGATGTGATGTACTTTGCCCCTTAGGGCCACCCTATTGATGAGACGAATGAGACCAATTATAACTGATAGCGTGAATACCCAATTCGACCATGCAACCCGACAGAAAGAGAAAAAGACAGCACAGGGTGGATGGAGTATGCCAAGAGAGTTCTCCACTTCTACCTGTACTTCAGCAACTGGCTGTGGAGAGCAGAAGGATGTTTATCTGAACTATCTAGCCTTTTTTACTGTATGGGCAACATGGCAAGGCATAGGTAGGTGTGAAGAAGCACAGTTCACCACACAATTAAAGACACAAAGAAGCATTCGCGCACAAAGAAGCATTCGCACACACACAGTCGGAATGGAAAACTGAGTCAAATTTAGTTTCTGTATGAAATAAGGAAATCAGTATTTGGTCTGCTGTTATATACGTTGTTTCTTTGGGCTCAAATGACTGAATTAGATTTTGTTGGATTTCTGATGTTGTGGGACACTATTATGCTATTAATGCTCACAGATGATGAATGAATGGATTCAGACCTAAGCCCATTCTCCACAAGCCATGCCACAGTCCAACTGATTGCGGCGCTATCTCAAGTGTGTTGATTCCACATTGAGAAAAACATCAGCAATGAAACTCCATGAAATGTCACAATATGTTACTGGAAGTATGGAGATAGATCTACATTTACATAAATGCTCTGAGGGACTGCTCTGTTTGGTCTCTGTATTGATGGTCTGCACAAGAGAAAAGGCATCAGTCTGTATGATGTAGCTAGTAGATAGTGTACCCACAAGATGCAATGATTTTAATACAGTTATATGAAATGATTGATGTCACAATGAGCTTAACTCTGTTAGTTTCAAAATCGCTGAATGTTGTATTGTCATTTACCGCTGCAGGAGGCTTGGCAGGGGCACTGGCTCCACTTGTTGAATTAACCTTGATTTTAGACTTGAGGCCTGGCAATGCCTCAAATTCACATCAAACTGTTACAATCTGACACAGACATTTATACATTATATTATTCTCTTTTACAGAATGTTATACATTTGTGCCTTATAGTGCAGGTATTGGCTTACCTTTTTGCTGAAAAGTTTGCTAAACGGGCTGTCAGATTTTGTCTTGGCTGCCTCTGGTTCTTTGGCAGCATCCTTTGGTTCTTCTTTTGGTGTGTTTGCCACAGGTTGGGCAGCTAGTTCTGCTTTGACCTCCATCTTAGGTGGTGCCGGGGCTGGAGGTGGGGGTGGTGGGATTGACATTCCTCCTTTGGCTGCTGCTGGAGCATCCGCTACTTGTGCAGCCTATTCGAGGGAGAGGTACAATTGAAAAGGAAGCAAAATAGGAATAGTTGATCACTGACACCTAGTTAATAACTCACAAAACATGATTTATGTATTTATTTAGTACTCACCGTAGTTGTTGCTGTTGGTTGGGCCTCTTTTTGTGACTGTTTGGTGACAATAACAAACAATAGTTAGTGCTGGTAAAAAGGAGAATAATCACCATTCTGGTTCTGCTAAGAGATCATGAACCTTCTGTCTAAACAGCTTGATTAGAGGACCTGAAGAGGCATCTTTTGCAACTAATCTCTCATGGACAGACTACGTAAACAATCGAACATCTGAACAAATTATGCAAGATTTTAGTTCTGGTTTAACCAGGATTATTTGCAACAGGCTCCACAGCTGAGCAAGACGCCCCTTGGCCTGCACATGTCTTCTCAGCTATGGCCTTCAGCAGAAGATGGATGCCAGTTATGGCAGACTGCTGACACTACTAAATACTCGTTTAAAAAGGCTCAAGAATCATTGGCCTGTTTAACTCAGCCTGTATTTGACATAATTGGGATTCAATATGATTAATTTATGGGGGGGGGGGGGGGTTCTGCGGCATTCAATAAAAGTTGCAATCAAAGTCATCCAAAAACCTCTCACTGTAGGTTAATATGTTGCAACTGAAACAAAACATGATTCAAGTGTAGATGTTAACGACGGCAATGTTGAATGAGGCCCCATGTTACCAAAGGGATGAAGATGATAAGTGGTAAGAGTGAGATATGTTTCACTTGTTACTTTTTCACCTTTGTTGGTGTAAGCAGTGAGAAACATGTTTTCTTTCTACTGAAGGTAAAGTAAGGCTTTGGCAAGAAAAGCTGTCATTATTATTTTAGATTACTTTACCAAAGGAACATAATTGTATAGCATTAAATAAACACTGAACAAAAATATAAACGTAACATGTAAAGTGTTGGTCCCATGTTTCATGAGTTGAAATAAAAGATCCCAGAAATGTTCCATACGCACAAAAAGCTTATTTCTCTCAAATTCTGTGCACAAATTTGTTTACATCCCTGTTAGTGAACATTTCTCCTTTGCCAAAATACTTCATCCACCTGACAGGTGTGGCATATCAAGAAGCTGATTAAACAGCATGATCATTACACAGGTACATCTTGTGCTGGGGACAATAAAAGGCCAATCAAAAAATTGTCACACAACCCCAAAAAAACATTGTGAGGCTCATTTTTTAAACGTTTTAATTTTTTTGCCTTTATTTAACTAGGCAAGTCAGAACAAATTCTTATTTACAATGACGGCCTACCCCGGCCAAACCCGGACGATGCTGGGCCAATTGTGCGCTGCCCTATGGGACTCCCAGTCATGGCCGGGTTGTGATACAGCCTGGAATCAAACCAGGGTCTTTGTGACACCTCTAGCACTGAGATGCAGTGCCTTAGACCGCTGGGCCACTCGGGAGCCCTGAGACCAACAGATGCATATCTATATTCCCAGTAATGTAAAATCCATAGATTAGGGCCTAATTTATTTATTTCAATTGACTGATTTCCTCATGTGAACTGTAACTCAATTGTTGCATTTTTTTGTTTTTGTTCAGCATAGAATACAGAATACTATACTATAGGATATCTGTGCATAATTGTATCTGTATTAAATGGGATTCAGTGCTTTTGCATAATGTATTATGTTTCAAATAAAAATACATGCTTACTTGGTATTTTGTAACGTCAGGGGTGGCTGTTTCTTGCTTGGTCTTTTTGGTAGGAGTCACCTTGGTAAAACACAGACATACTATATATTGAGTCACGAGTGTCTGTGTACAATCTTAGATGTCAGTCAAAATTGTGAACTACCCTTTGTTTCCTATGAAAATATCTAGCATTTAAGTGTATGTTGATGTTTAATTTCTTTTTTCAAATGAAATGCAATGCAGACAGTAGATAACAGCAATATCACCATGTTTATTTTGATAAGAGTGTTACTGTCACAGGGAACAGTGAAATTACTGTTTTCATAAGACAGATGTCTTTAAGTTAGTCATATAGCCATTGACGTCTATGGTTGTCTAACTGATGGCACACAAAGAGGTCACTGGCAAAGCACATACAGTACATGCTCTTTCATTGTGACAGCCATTGTGCTCTGGAGATGGCGTAGGCCTTCCCTCGCTCTATCTTCACGCATCTCAACTTCCAATGGCACAGGCCTCCCTTGTGAGCTCACACTATAGGCTGAACAAAAGACCACCACATTCCCGCATGTTCAAAGGATTTGATTAGCATGGCGCTGGGGCTATGTTAACTCTTTATGGTGGCATGATTCCAAAAGAAGGCATGATGAAGAGAAAAGACAATAGCTGCCTGTGTAATCATTCCTTCAAGACGTGATCTCTCTTTCTTAGAGACGCCCTCATTGCCCTTAGGCTGACTCTACACATATTTTTCACACACAATGAGCGAGATCACTGACAGCACTTTACAGTATAAAATACAATGTCATCACTGATGGAGCATGCACTGTTTTATCATTTAGTTTGTAAATGTAAATGTAGTTTCTTTGGTCCCTACTTCACAACAGAAGATTAGTATTATTGTACCATAATCAAGCATTATTCCAAATGTTTTGCTATTCAGAAGCATATTTGGAATTTTGACAGTATTATACAAATCTTCCTTTTTTTTTTTGGTTATTCAATAGTATTTGTAGTGGTTTCACAATAGATTTTTACAAAGGCTTGAAATATTTTGGCAACTCCTTTTAAATGTATTATAAAACAACCATTAGGCAATCAAATATTTTGTGCATATCTATTCACTTATGGCCTTACTATTAAAACAACTCTTCAATTCTGTAAACAACACAAATCAAATTCGATAAAAAAAATCGACTTACTAGTTTTTTAAAGAAGTTCATAACTGGATTCTCTTCTGTTTGACTCTCACCCTCTTGGTTTTCCTCAAGGTGAATGCTTTCCTCGCCAATTCCGGAGCCTTTGACCTCCTCTGCCTCTGGACTAGGGTTGGGAGGCTTCACTTCTCTGTATCCTGTATCCTCCTTTACCTCAGCAAGTGGCTCCTATAGACAACCACAGAGAATTATCCCTCAGAAATGTGAATGTGTTGGAGCACTGGAGCTGATATGCAAGCAATGAGTTTGTTAGATCAGCATTGAGATGGGATCACAATTCCAACCATGCCTCTGCCTACTTGGTGCACCATCAACAATCACCCTTTATTATAGCCTGTCCCCCCACCCCACACACACACTCATTGATATTCAGCAATGTTGGAGACTTCAGTCTCTCTCTTTGCTCTGAGAAATGTCAGCAAACTCAAATATCTTGCTTTGTGGTATGATATTCTAAGAAAATCCTCCATTATTATCCAACAATATATACATTTAATTGAATATTCCTTACAGTAATATGACTTAGTTTAAATGAAACAATGCTCCTTCATCATCTGGGCTTCGCTCCAGTCATTGAACAAGAATATCTGTTCAACCGGAACATGAGTTGACTATCTAATATGTCAACACATCCCACCCTCTTTACATAAACTCCCCAGACTGATCTATACATTAGTAAAATATTCAATTAAAATAATTGAATTTGAATTCAAGTTTCAAGTTTTTTATTGTCACGTGCACTAGTACAGTGAAATGCCTTACTTGCTCTTTCCCAACAATGCGGTAGTACTATAAAAAATAAAATAAAAAAGTCAAGTAGAACAAAAACATACGAGAAATAGAAATAAGAACACAAGAAAGTAAGTAAGCTATATACAGAGTCAGTTCCAGGGTCAGTGCCAATACCATATTTACAATGTGCAGGGATACTGGAGTGGTAGGGTTAGATTTGTACAGGGGTAAGGTGACTACGCATCAGGATTTATGATAAACAGAGTAGCAGCAGCATATATGATGATTGCATGTGAGTGTGTAGTCAGTGTGTGTGTGTGTGTGTGTGTGTGTGTGTGTGTGTGTGTGTGTGTGTGTGTGTGTGTGTGTGTGTGTGTGTGTTGGAGTGTCAGTGTGAGTGTGTGTAGAAGGGTCAATACTAAAATAGAAGGGTCAATACAGATAGTCCATGAAGCCATTTTGTTAGCTATTTAGCAGTCTTATGGCTTTGGGATAAAAGCTGTTCAGGAGACTGTTGGTGTCGGACTTGATGCTCCAGTACCGCTTGCCGTGTGGAAGCAGAGAGAATGTTTATGTACATAGGGGCAGATACACAGCAAATTTTCCAGTTTTAAATCAACACTGGCAGGATTACATTTAACACTGGTCCAGTGTATATACGGGTCCACACTTGTCAGTATTAAATTAACACACTGCTTAGTGTAAAGCCTTATATGCATATTTCCCAAAGTACATTGCCTTTCAAGTGAATTGTAGAGCTACCACCCATGACTGTATTTTTTAGTGACAGGCATGGTTGTTGCATTAATCAATTTTCAGTCCTGTGGCCTTCACCAAGTGAGATCCTAATGTAATATTTTACCATTAAAATGTAATACTTTAACACAATACAACAAGTATTTAATAAGGCCTTATTTTGAGGGCCTAGTTTGACCCTAATACAGTGACATTAAACTCAAGGTTTTCAGGGCAGTAAGTCACATTGTATGTAATTCCTATTGGAATCCAGCAAGAGTGGGAATATCCAGAATGTACTATTTTTATTTAACATTTATATTTTAGTCATTTAGCAGACGTTCTTATCCAGAGCGATTTACAGGTGCAATTAGGATTAAGTGCCTTGCTCAAGGGCACATCAACAGATTTTTCACCTTGTCGGCTCGGGATTCATGTATGGGATTCATGTACAGGGAAAAATGTATGTTATTTATATTTGAGTAGCATAAAATTAATTAATCAATCAATGTACATGCAAAAACATAGATATTGAAACAAACAATTTAACAAATCAACCTGCAATAGAAAATGCTGGGAAATATGATAATGATGGGCATAGTTTATTGCTTAAAACTGGTTATTAACACCAACACAGGGGTTATTTTACACCAATTAGTGTTAATTTAACACTTACAGAGTTAATTTAATAACACCTGAATCAACACTAGAAATGTTACACTGAAATATCAACACTAGGTAACATGAACAATGTGCTGTGTACATGTAAAACACTAACACAATTTAAAAAATAAACCAGACTTTGAACCACACTTTTTAACATTTTAATTGCAAAGATCACAGCTAAGATAAAATACACTGACCACAACAAAACTATAAACGCAACATGCAACAACTTCAAAGATTTTACTGAGTTACATATAAGGAAATCAGTCAATTGAAATAAATAAATTAGGCCCTCTGACTGGGAAAATAGATATGCATCTGTTGGTCACAGATACCTTTAAAAAAAGGTATGTGTATGGATTGGAAACCAGTCAGTATCTGGTGTGGGCATCATTTGCCTCACACATCTCCTTCGCATAGAGTTGATCAGGCTATTGATTGTGGTCTGTGGAATGTTGTTGTTCCAGAGCATCCCAAACATGCTCAATGGGTTACATGTCTGGTGAGTATGCAGGCCATGGAAGAACTGGGACATTTGCAGCTTTCAGGAATTGTGTTCAGCTCCTTGTGACATGGGGCCATGCATTATCATGCTGAAACATGAGGTGATGGTGGCAGATGAATGGCACGCTGTCTGCCATCTGCCCGGAATAGTTGAAACCAGGATTAATCAGTGAAGAGCACACTTCTCCAGCGTGCCAGTGGCCATCGAAGGTGAGCATTTTCCCACTGAAGTAGGATACAACGCCGAACTGCAGTCAGGTCAAGACCCTGGGGAGGCCGACGAAATGCTGGGGAGGACGACGAGCATGCAGATGAGCTTCCCTGAGACGGTTTCTGACAGTTTGTGCAGAAATACTTCGGTTGTGCAAACCCACAGTTTCATCAGCTGTGGCTGATCTCAGACGATCCCGCAGGTGAAGAAGCCAGATGTGGAGATCCTGGGCTGGCGTGGTTACACGTGGTCTGCGGTTGAGAGGCCGGTTGGATGTACTGCCAAATTCTCAAAAACATTGTTGGAGGCGGCTTATAGTAGATAAATTAACATTCAGTTCTCTGGCAACAGCTCTGGTGGACATTCCTGCAGTCAGAATGCCAATTGCACGCTCCCTCAAAACTTGAGACATCTGTGGCATTGTGTTGTGTGACAAATCTGCACATTTTAGAGTGGCCTTTTATTGTCCCCAGCACAAGGTGAACCTGTGTAATGATCATGCTGTTTAATCAGCTTCTTGATATGCCACACCTGTCTGGTGGATGGATTATCTTGGCAAATGAGAAATGCTCACTAACAGGGATGTAAACAAATTTGTGCACAACTTTTGAGAGAAATACGATTTTTGTGCGTATGGAACATTTCTGGGATCTTTTATTTCAGCTTATGAAACATGGGACCAATACTTTACATGTTGCGTTTATATTTTTGTTCAGTATAATAAACCATACAATCATATAAGCATGTCAGATTAGCCAAAAAATTATAATACTAGTACTGCAATTGGTTTCCTTTCGTAGGTATTCACAGTGTCAAATAATTTATTCACAGAATCTAGATTCTTTGAAGTTTGAGGAGGATCCTGCTCCTCAGCTGTGAATTACTCCAAATCCAATGCTGTTTCAGTGGCAGTCTCATCCTCGCATTTCAAATCTCCTCTCTGCCTCAGACTGACCTTAAGTGTAATGTTAATAGTGCCGCAGCCCTCTGTAGACACCTCAGCACTGACACTGATAGGGCTATATACTGATTCTTTAATGATTTTCATACATGCCGATTGCAGCTGACCAAGCAACCTCGATGATGAGTGGCTTGTTTCTTTCCCTTCATCGTTCTTCTTGTTTTTCTCAGTTGTCCCTTTAGCACTGGGGCTAGATTCAAGTTCTTCTGATTCTATATCAGCTACATCTTCAAGAATAGCAGCCATTTTTTTAAGCTCTTCTAGTTCTGCAGCGATTGCTGAGTCTATAGCAGCTTCATTTTCAAGAACATCTGCAATTTCTTCCAGCTCTTCTTTGGGTACAGGGCTCTTCTCCAGAGTTCTATCCTCTGTGACTTCTTCACCAAAGACCGGTTCTGTTGTCTCCTCTTCAGGTGGGCTGACACTATCGTCTGTAGGCTGCTCTTCAGAGGTTACTGGCTGCTCTTCAGAGGTTACTGGCTGCTCTTCAGAGCTTTCAGTAGTGATTTGAATGCCGTCTGCTGTAAGAAAATCCGGCAGTGATGAAAGTTCAGGCTCTGCCTCCGGAAATGAGAATCTGACTGCCAGTTGCATTGGAAACAAATGTGCAGCCATCAAGACTTCGCTTGTCTCCTTTGAATCAACAAGAATTTTTGTTAGATTTGTAATGTGTTTTGTTAAACACAGGAAAGTGAAGAATGACTGGTTGATGTTCTCACAACAGATGCAATATTACTGTAAATTAATGTTACCAATTCAAAGTACAACTCACATTACAGTGTCAATATCCTTAGTTAACTACATTGGAATAACCAAAATAATTTAGACGTAGATATGTGAACATCTCAAGTTAGGAGTTGATGATCATTAATCAATGATCACTACACTGAGTAAAGTTGAAATGGAACTTATGCCAAGCCAATTTGAAGGGATTACTGATTAGAGACTTACAGCGTGGATCCCATCGGTCACCGTTACAGGGACTTCTGGGGAACTCTTACTCTCCTCCACAGCTTTCTCCTTTATGGGCTCCTCATTTTCAAGGGCTGGATCAGGGTTGGGGATGGGTTGAGGCTTAGCTTTCTTCTTGAATTTTTCTTTAGAACTCTCCTTGGGCTCCTTCTTTTGGGGGTTTGGTGCCGGTGTGGTTTCAGTCTTAGCAGTCTCTGGTTCCGCTTCTAGAACTTTCTTGATGACAGGTTCCTGTTCCACCACCACAGGCGCACGACCACTGCCGTTTGCCTCCACTATACCTGTCTCTTCAGAGGGAGGCAGTGAGGGAGGCTTACTGTTCTGCTCCACAGCTGCTTCACTGGTAACTGCAAGAGATAGGTTACTTGGTGTGACAGGAAATAGAAAGTTATTTGCTATGATTCATCATTTATACACAAGCATCAGGTTGGTAATACCTGGCTATGATCTATCTGATGTCTGGGAATGTAGAATTTTGAAGATAATGGAAGTGTGTGTGGTAAATAGTGTGCAACTTTACCAAATGTGTTTTCTATTGATACTACCCTTATGACTAATCAACACAGTGCTAAGGTCATTACCTTAAGTTCAATGCAAGCAAAACCTTCCCTTGCACTGTATGTAAAACGAATATGCTACTAGAGACATATAGGCTAGTCGTGTGAAACAAACACAACCTGTTCTAGAAACAGTGGCTTTAGTGTCTCACTTGCTGATATCAAATAATAATTTGGGGGGTTCTTATATTTGTCCTGTTACACACAAGTGTCAGCAGGTAGCAGGTAGCTTAGTGGGTAAGAGCGTTGTGCCAGTAACCGAAAGGTCGCTGGTTCTAATCCCTGAGCCGACTAGGTGAAAAATCTGTCGATGTGCCCTTAAGCAAGGCACTTAACCCTAATTGCTCATGTAAGTCGCTCTGGATAAGAGCGTCTGCTAAATAATTTAATGGAAATGTGTTGCTTGCATATCCCAACTCCACCTAAAACACCCGCAGGGAGTGGGGTCACGGCCAGGGTCACCATCGTACAGCGCCCGTGGAACAATTAGGTTTAAGTGCCTTGCTCAAGGGCACAACGACAGATTTTTCACAATGTCAGCTCCGATATTCGAACCAGCACCTTTCGGTTACTGGCCCAACACTCTAACCTCGAGGTTAGCTGCCGCCCCTTGACGACCAATATCAATAATATCGCCCTTGGAGAAAATACATATGGACTTGGCCTGAAAATCCTTGTACCTGACTGTTGATCTAGTGAGACAATATACACATAGACAGATCAAACATCTGTTCATCCTCTATGTTGAAGGATACGCCTATAGTTAACATTGAACACCACCCAGTAGCACTGACAGACTGCTGTGTTTACAGAGAATTATGAGAGACTTGTAAATTGATCCAGACTAATCCAACAATTCAAGATTGATTACAAGGCATGCTGTCACTGTCATATCATCCCATTGGAGCTGTAAATCAATAACTACGTTATCATTATAGACAGAGGTGTTGCAACAAGTTGGACCCAAAGTTTAGGGTATTGATCATGGGGTAACAATCAGGTGACAACAGGATTTTACATTTACATTTTAGTCATTTAGCAGACGCTCTTATCCAGAGCGACTTACAGTTAGTGAGTGCATAGTGAGGATATATAATAATATAATATGCCATTTAGCAGACCCTTTTATCTAAAGCGATTTACAGTCATGTGTGCATACATTTTTATGTATGGGTGGTCCCGGGGATCAACCCACTACCCTGGCGTTACAAGCACCATGCTCTACCAATTGAGCTACAGAGGACCACCCATACGTAAATGGCTACCAAACCACTCAAAGCCACATATTAGTGGATGTGATAATGGCGTTGTGTACTGGATACTTACCATTATTCTCCAGGCAATCGGATGAGATGCTTACAGCATGGCTATTCAAACCTCCTTTCTGGTGCTTCTCTAGAGTCTGCTCGGTCTATAAGAAGAAAGATAGTTGACATCAGTTTCTCTTGCCATCATTGCTTTCATTACCTTCATCGCATCACTTTCATCATTACTCAATTTTGTACAGACCATTACAATTATATAGTATTAGATGTACACTACCGTTCAAAAGTTTGGGGTCACTTAGAAATGTCCTTGTTTTCGAAAGAAAAGCAATTTTTTTGTCCATTAAAATAACATCAAAATTGATCAGAAATACAGTGTAGACATTGTTAATGTTGTAAATGGCTATTGTAGCTGGAAACGGCTGATTTTTAATGGAATATCTACATAGGCGTACAGAGGCCCATTATCAGCAACCATCAGTCCTGTATTCCAATGGCACATTGTGTTTGCTAATCCAAGTTTATCATTTTAAAAGGCTAATTGATCATTAGAAAACCCTTTTGCAATTATGTTAGCACAGCTGAAAACTGTTGTGCTGATTAAAGAAGCAATAAAACTGGCCTTCTTGAGCCTAGTTGAGTATCTGGAGCATCAGCATTTGTGGGTTGCTAGGCAGAGTTGCAAAGAAAAAGCCATATCTCAGACTGGCCAATAAAAATAAAAGATTAAGATGGGCAGTCTGAGATATGGCTTTTTCTTTGCATAGAAGGTCAGCATCCCGGAGTCGCCTCTTCACTGTTGAGACTGGTGTTTTGCTGGTACTATTTAATGAAGCTGCCAGTTGAGGACCTGTGAGGCGCCTGTTTCTCAAACTAGACACTCTAATGTATTTGTCCTCTTGCTCAGTTGTGCACCAGGGCCTCGCACACCTCTTTCTATTCTGGTTAGAGCCAGTTGGCGCTGTTTACATTTTAGTCATTTAGCAGACGCTCTTATCCAGAGCGACTTACAGTTAGTGCATACATATTTTTCTTTTCATACTGGCCCCCCGTGGGAATCGAACCCACAACCCTAGCATTGCAAGCGCCATGCTCTACCAACTGAGCTACACGGCTGCTCTGTGAAGGGAGTAGTACACAGCGTTGTACGAGATCTTCAGTTTCTTGGCAATTTCTCGCATGGAATAGCCTTCATTTCTCAGAACAAGAATAGACTGACGAGTTTCAGAAGAAAGTTATTTGTTTCTGGCCATTTTCTGCCTGTAATCAAACCCACAATTGCTGATGCTCCAGATACTCAACTAGTCTCAAGAAGGCCAGTTTTATTGCTTCTTTAATCAGCACAACAGTTTTCAGCTGTGCTAACATAATTGCAAAAGGGTTTTCTAATGATCAATTAGCCTTTTAAAATGGTAAACTTGGATTAGCAAACAAAATGTGCCATTGGAACACAGGACTGATGGTTGCTGATAATGGGCCTCTGTACGCCTATGTAGATATTCCATTAAAAATCAGCCGTTTCCAGCAACAATAGCCATTTACAACATTAACAATGTCTACACTGTATTTCTGATCAATTTTGATGTTATTTTAATGGACAAAAAAATTGATTTTCTTTCGAAAACAAGGACATTTCTAAGTGACCCCAAACTTTTGAACAGTAGTGTATGTGCACTTGTAATATCCCTAATATATTACTGTCTGTATCTTGAAACTGCTATTATTAGACAGTAAACACTTCCAGGGGTGGACTGGGACCAGAAATCGGCCCCGGCATTTCTAACACACTGTCCCATTTTTTTTCCTTAAGGTCCCCACACCAGCCCACTTTTTCCTCCAAACCCCCACACCGGCCCATTATTACCCAGATCATCATAATTTTGGGCAATTTAAAAAAAAAGTTAGACAGGCCCACTAGGCAAAACATTGACCAGGCCATCTGGCATGTGCCCGAAATGCCAGATGCCTATTCCGCCCTTGAACACTTCTATTGGGTGTAAAATGCTACAACTAGCCTTCTTACCCCTGTATTCCAACATTCAAAGAAAGACAAGCATGCTGTAAAGTTTGGCTTTTATCACCAATACCTTATCGTTGGTATGTCCTTTGTTTTTGGAATGCTCATTGCCCATCTTGATCACAGTTGAAACCTGCAGAAGAAACTGTTTGTCAGTGTTTGTGCATTTATTCCTAAGGTTAATGCTTTAAAGATATACTCCATTCTTGCATCAAAATAGTATGCAGTAGCTTCCAAATAGCTTCCAACAACAGCGTGAGATGAATTCAAATGTTATGATGTATACCAATAAAATATGCTCCTCATCTTGAATAAATGAATAACATTTGAAGCAACGCTAATAGATACAACATAAGAAGAATAGCGTACTGTATGTTCACATTTCATTGCTATGGAGAAGCGATGGACAATAAATAAACCAATGACATTCGAAGCAAAGCTACAAGTATTTGAGGCTATGTCTTACCTTATGCCAACTCCTTTGGCGAGTAAAAGCAGCAATAGCACACACTCCTGTTGTAAAACTAGTGTGTTTACTACAGAATGTCTGTAGTATTCCAGCTACTGGTAGCAGATTTGAGATTGACTTACTGCTTTGCAAACTGCTAAACTAAGTATATATACATAAGGGTTTAGCCCTGTTCTTAAAGGGGTGGGGCTATCTCTTACTAATAAAAAAAGGGATCTATATGAATGCCAAACACACATCTACAGCAATAACACTCTGTCAACTGTCAGTGCATCTCTGATGTACTCATGCTAATCTCTTGAATTCTCTCTGGAAATGTTCAAATGAGAACATGATGATAAGCTTTGCTTTATCAGGCAGATTTTGATGACATTGCTGTATACCTCAAAGAGCCCATGAGAAACTGCAGAGTGCGGTAAACTCATGACTAATAGGTTGGGATAGAAACAGGATGTCAATGTAGGATATGTGGAACCATTGGAAGCATTGCTTATTTTCTTAGTGGGGCATTAGTCCAAATACCTGACACATGATAACTACTTATTTTCATATTAAGCTGTTATACAGCTTAAATACAGCTTTATTTTACAGTGTTTTATTTAGGTTACTGGATTCAATTACTTCATATGACAGAAAGAATACTTCATGACCAATATGATCATGAACAAAACAAGTTTAAAATAAACAAAAAATTAAATGACAGCATACCACCAAAGAAGTCTATGATAATGTAGAGTTGTTTTCTTATTTGGCCTGAAAGCTGGATTCATTTTAGATCATTGACATAACATAATATTATACACTACATGACCAAAAGTATGTGGACACCTGCTCATCAACATCTCATTCTGAAATCATGGGCATTAATATGGTGTTGGTCCCCCCTTTGCTGCTATAATAGCCTCCACTCTTCTGGGAAGGCTTTCCACTAGATGTTGGATCATTGCTGCGGGGACTTGCTACCATTCAGCCACAAGAGCATTAGTGAGGTCGAGCACTGATGTTGGGCAATTAGGCAAAGGTGTTCGATGGGGTTGAGGTCAGGGCTCTGTGCAGGCCAGTCAAGTTCTTCCACACTGATCTCGACAAGTCATTTCTGGATGGATCTCGCTTTGTGCACGGGGGCATTGTCATGCTGAAACAGGAAAGGGCCTTCCCCAAAATGTTGCCACAAAGTTGGAAGCACAGAATCGTCTAGAATGTCATTGAATGCTGTAGCGTTAAGATTTCCCTTGACTGGAACTAAGGGGTCTAGCCCAAACCATGAAAAACAGCCCCAGACCATTATTTCTCCTCCACCAAACTTTACAGTTGGCACTATGCATTTGGGCAGGTAGCGTTCTCCTGGCATCCGCCAAACACAGATTAATCCGTTGAAATGCCACATGGTGAAGCGTGATTCATCACTCCAAAGAATGCGTTTCCACTGCTCCAGAGTCCAATGGTGGCGAGCTTGACACTACTCTAGCCGACGCTTGGCATTGTGCATGGTAATCTTAGGCTTGTGTGCAGCTGCTCGGCCATGGAAACCCATTTCATGGAGCTCCCGACGAACAGTTCTTGTGCTGATGTTGCTTCCAGAAGCAGTTTGGAACTCGGTAGTGAGTGTTGCACTCGGCGGTCCCGTTCTGTGTCACCATTGTTGCTCCTAGACGTTTCCACTTCACAATAATAGCACTTACTGTTGACCGGAGCAGCTCTAGCAGGGCAGACATTTTACGAACTGACTTGTTGGAAAGGTGGCATCCTATGACGGAGCCACGTTGAAAGTCAATGAGCTCTTCAGTAAGGCCATTCTACTGCCAATGTTTGTCTATGGAGATTGCATGGCTGTGTGCTCGAATTTATACACCTGTCAGCAACGGGTGTGGCTGAAATAGCCAAATCCAGTAATTTGAAGGGGTGTCCACATACCTTTGTATATATAGTGTACATAATGATCCTAACGGGAGCACTGTTAATCAAGAGAGACAAAGGGCTGTACAATCTAATCAATGTGGATCATCGTCCATGGACCTGCCACCATAAAGAAATTGTTTGGCTTTCATAGATCAATTGGAAGTTGATAACAGGTAATCAAAACAGAGGTGCTGCTCCAGGAAATAGCAATTGATCCAGACTGAGGAGTGAAATCAAAACATTTAAGACAAAACCAATATCAGCATCAGTTTAGTTTTTTGTTTTAGTGGCCTATTAAAATGGCAAAAATACAAATTATCAGTGATACTCATTATCAATGCCAAGCTGACCAGATACAGCTGTAGGCTATAGTTCAAAATGACTGACTAACGACTAACTAATCATTTTCTGTCTGTCCGGGAGTGTGAATTAAGCAGGAGAAGGATCCCAAACCAAACTAAAAATTATGAATATTCTCCTCAGAAGCTGATGGTACAATTTTGAGGGAATAATAGCCTGTGAGCAACTTTCTTTCAGCTGTGAGTGAGTGGCATGAACAATACACAGACTGTCCCTCATTGAATTCCATGGAGACATGCCAAATCATTCCTGCTACTGTAGACGAAGCATGCAGGCAGGGCCATTCTTTGCAAACTTAACCTCAAGAATGAACTTTGTGATTATTATTCACACAATAATTGTGGTCTGAATTTTTTTATTACCCCATGTATGCTGTATTAGCCCTTTTATGCTTGCATATTTGTGCACATACATTTTTTGAAATTTGCATACAGAAAGAAAGTGTAGGCTAGTGTAAAATGGCCAGATGACATCTTGCCACTTGCATATTCAATCATTTTCATACATGAACAAACAAAGGTATATTGGATTTTGGTTATAAGGAGAGTTACCTCAGGGCAACTCAACACAAGTCTACCCTAATTTTTGTCACATGGATGCAGTGTCAGATTGTAAATGTAGGCTATATGTTAGGAGAGGAGCAGCAGAAGCTGGATTCCTCTGTAGACACACTGTGAACTTGATTGTTGACATCCCGCAAGGCATGCTTGGGACATGCAGCCCCTACAACCCCTATTCAATGACTTTATTTAGGAGCTAACCCATATATTTCAAATGAAAGAAGGTTATATAATATAACTTAACTATGCATTTATCATCATTGGGATGTTCATAGTATAGAATATTGACCTTGTGCTATTTGTTCTCTAAACACACCTTACCATATGTGCATTTCCTAAATAATATTTACCTTACTTTGTTAAATAAATCTGAGTAAGTTGCCCATAGCTGCCTTTCGACAACTCATGCGTTCTGCCAATATTTAAACTTGGGAGCAGTTCTGTTTATTCTGAATATTTACAGATCAAATGTTCTGGTTCCATCAATCACGTGTATAGTTATTGTAGGCTACTTTTGGAATGCACATACCCCAGTGAGTCAGGTAGGCATATGAGCAGAGAGCTAGAAACTTTTAGGTCTAAGACCATTTTTGGTATCAGTACAGTATTCCATTTGAGCTTAGTGTAGGCAGGGTTGTCACGTCTAGCTAAAATGTACAGATCACTGACCACTCAAAACCTGCCCAAAAGGCCTGAAAACTAGCCCACATTTTTTCCACAGCAAGAGAGGAGTTGCCACGTTAATACAATAAACCCCTTTTCCATAACGTTATTGATAGAATTAAGAAATAATATCGATGTAACTTGTAAAGACCATAGACGCAAATTCAGTTTTCATCAAAATAATCATTATTGTGGGCTGTGATCTGACATAATAAAGGATTTTGAATATGTCTCAAGATAAAAAATATAATTTGCCCTTCTTAAACTTGCCAGATCATTTTCCATCAATGGATGTCAATTTAAATTGTTTGACTGCTATGATTAAAGAATAAAGCATGAGGGGGTATGGTATATGGCCAATATACCAAGGCTAAGGGCTGTTCTAAAGCACAACACAACGCAGAGTCCCTGGATACAGCCCTTAGATTTACATTTACATTTTTGTCATTTAGCAGACGCTCTTATCCAGAGCGACTTACAGTTTATTTATATTTTTTATACTGGCCCCCCATGGGAATCGAACACACAACCCTGGCGTTGCAAACGCCATGCTCTATCAACTGAGCTACATCCCTGCCGGCCATTCCCTCCCCTACCCTGGACGACGCTGGGCCAATTGTGCGCCGCCCATGAGTCTCCCGGTCGCGGCCGGCTGAGACAGAGCCTGGATATATTTATTAGCCGTGGTATATTTATTGCCCATATACCACAAACCCCTGAGGTGCCTTACTGCTATTATAAACTGGTTACCATGGTAATAAGAGCAGTAAAAATTAATGTTTTGTCATACCCCTGGTATACAGTCTGATATACCACGGCTGTCAGCCAATCAGCATTCAGGGCTCGAACCACCCAGTTTGTAATTGTAAATAAATGATTGTAATTCAACTTTTACATGGTTTGATTAGCTAGATGCAGGTAGCCTAGTCCCTGATAGGCCTACATCTCATTTCAGATAGCTTACAGTAGCCTAGGCAAGATGTAGGCAAAGTGGCGCAGCGGTCTAAGGCACTGCATCTCAGTGCTTGAGTTGTCACTACAGACCCCCTGGTTCGATTCCAGGCTGTATCACAACCGGCCGTGATTGGGAGTCCCATAGGGCGGCGCACAATTGGCCCAGCGTCGTCTGGGTTTGGCCGGTGTAGGCCGTCTTTGTAAAAAAGCATTTGTTCTTAACTGACTTACCTAGTTAAATAAAAAAAACTGAATTAATGATTTAGCAGCTTGCTTAGTTCATCTTCGACGTAAGAACTGCTTGTGTTTCCCAATAGGCTACTGAGGATGGGGTCATAATTTCAATCACTGAATTAAATATGAATAATATGTATATGAACTGAATATGCTTGTCAACATTTTCGATGCTCCCTGACTGTCTAACTTTTATTTTGGTGACTATTATCAAGGAACTGTATGAATGTAGGTGCATTATCATATTCTACACAGTTTCGATTTGCATTTAGTAATTTTAAAGTATAACTCAATATACTTTAAAATTGCTAAATGCAAATCGAAACTGTGTAGAAAATGAATATTGTCAAAAGCCGTACCACCAACTCAGGCCCTAGTGCCTGGGAAGGGAGATATGGAGATTTAAAAGAAGGAATAAGTGGGAGTTTTATTTTGTCAATGTACAATTTTATTTGGGTGGACTAAGTTAGTTTCCCTATTATGTATGGATTTTCTTTTGACCTTGTTTTGGTGTCAACCCGTCCAGGTGGTGGCGGCAATACAACTTTTTGGGTTGTAGTCCGCCATAAAACCCACAGAAGAAGAAGTCAACTTTTTCTAAAGCATGAGCAAGATGGCGGCCACCATGAAGAAGACAGTTGTAAGCTAAAATCTGTTTGAATAATTCACTCCGATCTCCATACAGGCGCCACACCACTGTCATTCGTGCAGTAATGATCTAAGACACGTGTTCTACAATTTAGTTTGTAAATGCATCAATTCACTGTCTTTTTTTACTCGTGCGTTGTTGGGATCACAGCTAGCGAGCTAGCTAGCCAGCTAACGGTAGCAATTGTAGGGTAGTTTAGCTACTAACGTTAGCTAAGCTGGTTATCAACAAACTACACTTAACATCTATCCGCGATTTCCTTTCTTAAACGTGTAGCTACCATGGCGTTAGTTTAATGATAGCTAGTGCCATTTGGAGAACGCTTTGCCAGCTGGTTTTAATGTCTAAGGCAACACCTAACTAGAGCCCCTCCCGTATTGGGCTGAGACCTCCGAGTCCTAGCCATTCTGGGGCGCCTTCAGCAGGACCGAACGTTCAGATAGAAATGGGCTATGTAGATCAAACATGCCTCTGACATGTAGAAAAAGGAATCACATCGGCTTTATTCATGACATTTCTATCTGCAACTTTCGAACGTTTGGCAACTGAACATGCCCTTGTTATCCACTTTTCGTATCCCTTATTCGGGTATTGTTTAGCTAGCTAGTTAGCTAAATAGTGTTGTCGAAGATGGTTTAGAAAATCTGTGGTATTGTTCTGTTTTTAGAAATATAGCTAGTTATTTAGCAATGTAGTTAGCCAAGCAGCGTTGTCTATAGCTATATAGGCTCATTTTGGACAATCTCTATTGTCTTCCCCTTAACAGGCAGTTGAAGATGTCAATGTCACATTTGAGGACCAGAAGAAGATAAATACGTTTGCCAGAAACACGAATCGAATGACAGAATTCAAAGATGAAATAGAGGCAAAAAAGGTAAGAGGGGTTAATGTATTGATGAGGAAAATCTGAATAATGAGATTCTTTATTTATTTCCTCTTATTCTAGTACATCATATTGTCACTACTGTTATATTATATAACCTAACTATAACCATCAATCTCCTTTCTTCTCTTCTCAGAAATCTCTACAGAATCTGCAGGATGCCAGTGATGACCTGATGATGGCTGAGGATGACTCTCTGCTCGTCCCGTATCAGATTGGCGACGTCTTCATCAGTCACACCCAGGAAGAGACCCAAGAGATGTTGGAAGCTGCAAAAGTATTGTTATTATGATTTAGTCAGGCAATGTTCACATTATTCTGACATTTTAGAATGTAATAGTATGTTGAATGCCAATGCATAATGCCATTGGGAAGGCCTAAAAAAATGACCTAAAAGCGCCAATCAGCATTAGAAATAATAACAAAGCGGTCGCCCCACCCCTGGTTCGGTAAAAAGCTGAGGGATGGGGCTGGAGAAATGTAACCACTCTCAAATTCATAGACATAGCTATGGATGCAAGGACTGATTTATTATGACAATTAGTTTTAACCATGTTTTGAGGTTGTATAGTGTTTGTTTAAACATGTTTGTTTACAAACATTGGAGTAAAACAAGTTTATAGTTTGGGTTCTGATAGGGAACGACAGTTGAACTAAGCTCATGAGGCATTTATAAGTTATATTCTTGAAGAGTCAATGGGTACATATAATTAATTTCTAAGTAAAAAAAATGGATGTAGCAACTGCTGATTGCCACTTAAAGTGGGAATGCATAGTTTTTTACACTTTTTGCATGCTTTTGGGGGGAGGTTTTCCCCCTAAATTACAACAATTCAATGTAAACTTGAGGTCCTTGAAATTCACAATTAAGTGCATGAAGAATTCATTGAAGGTCCTTGAATTTGACCTGCCACTGTCTGAACCCTGTATTATATGACTTGTGTAGAAGTTAGTGTAGGTCTACCTCGGAAACAGGGATGCCTGTTCCTAAGGCAAACACAGATGGGTTATTTAACGTTGCATGGGTTATTTAACATTCCAGTTTTAACATTGCATTATGAAGCCAAAGGCCAGGATATCAAGGTATTATGCTTGACCCTATTACTAAAAATGCAACCTAAATAATTTTAACCATTCTGATTTATTTCCATGTCAGAGCTTATTATAGTCTATTAATATGCATTGTTTGTGGCCACAGGAACAACTGCAGCAGGAGATCAAAGACCTAGAAGGGAAGGTGTCGGCAATACAGCAGGTGTTGGGTGATCTGAAGGTCCAGCTCTATGCCAAGTTTGGGAACAACATCAACCTGGAGGCAGATGAAAGCTGAGTGCTTTCTAATGGGCAGACCTTAGCCTGGTCTCAGATCTGTTTGTGCTGTTTAGTGTGACACTGAATCAATGATTATAGGAGTTGGCAAGATGCCACAAACAGTTCTGGGATCAGGCTAAGAAGGCAACTCTCTCTTTATACATGGACTTTTCATGCAGCTCACATATTATCCGATCCACGCAGTGCCGACAGGATCCTTGCCAAACCAATGTTTGTCCTTTTCTCAGTTTCAACATGATTTTTCTCAGTAATGGTTTACAATGGTGTATTGTCATATTTTGTATGAATGTTGGTGAATGTATCCCATTTTACTTTGTGAAGACTCGTTTTGGTAGTTTGTCTTAAATGGAACCACGTTTAATTTTGTGAGTTTATGTTTGGAGGGTGGATGGGTGGGCGTGTAATACGACCGTTTAGCAACACAAAGGTTGCTTGTTTGAATTTCGTCACTGACAACTTTAGCATTTTCACAAATTAGCAAATGTTCAACTACTTACTACTTTTTAGCTACTTTGCAACTACTTAGCATGTTAGCTAACCCTTCCCGTAACCCTTTTAGCTAACCCTTTAACCTAACTCCTAACCCAGCTAACGTTAGCCAGCTAGCTAACGTTAGCAACAACAAATTAGAATTCGTAACATATACATTTTGCAATGTTGTAACATTGAACATTTAGCAAATTCGTAACATATCATACGAAATGGATGATGGACATCTGTTAGTTAATACATACCATACGTAACATGTCATACTAATTGGAGCGTCTTGGATTTACATACAGAATAATACGAAATGCTTTGAGACCATGTTTCACAATGGGGAAATAATGGATGCCAGTCAGATGCAGGAGGAAAGTGTGCTGGTGCTGCAGTTACATGAACCCCACTGAAGGGGGCAACAGGAGAACGCTTGATGTCACAGTCTGAGTCCACTCACTAATATTAAGCTTCAAATATTACGTTTGTTCTACTCCTGTAGTCTCAGGTCTGGTGGAATCTTCACAAGCAAAAACTTTTGGTGAAATTACAATTCCTAAAGGTCTTTGTTGTGCAAATATTCCTAACAGAAAAGGCATTTGACAGAGTGGTGAAGTCCGGTGAAATCCTTCCCGACACTAAAGATTTTGATAGTGTCTGAATAAACTAAGCTCTGAAATGCATCCAATCCATGTACTGCAGCCCCATACACAACATAATACACAGACCTCATTCAAGTGTGCCCTCAAGTGTGGCCTGCTTGAGCTAATAAAATATCAGATAAATAAATGTAGGGTTTGAAGTTGTGGCAGACGCCTCTGGAGAATCGAGATCTCAATTAGCAAGTTCCTCTGCCCCCCGGGCTTCCTGCTCAGGCATTCACTGGTAGGATTAAGAGGAGAACCACACACACACAGGCTTGGCTTTATGCACAGCTTGTTAAACCCTGGCTCATGTAAATCGGAAATCACTTGACTTATTTCCCAGATGGCCTTGTGTGTGTTCTCTCTTTCTCTCTTCCTGTTTCTCTCCCCCTCTTCCTGTTTCTCTCCCCCTCTTCCTGTTTCTCTCGTTCTCCCTCTAGTCTACACTTTTAATAATTAGCTCAGTGAAGTGGAGACCTATTCCCATGCAGATCTTCATAACACTGTGAGCTGTGTTCAGGCAGTGAGAATTTGTACATCAATGATGTGACCTCCATTCAACCAGGTAGTGAAATTAAATAAAGGCTATTAGTTAACTACTGGTACCTGATTACCATATACCCCCCTCCCCCCTCACTATGATACACTACCCTTGATACTAGAGTTAGTCAGAGGCTTTAGGTAATTTTGTCCACAAAATCTATTGTTATTCATTCTATTGACTGTGTCAGTCTCTAGGGTGACTGAGCACTATTGATTTACATTGTAACTGCATAAACCCTCCAGAAGGTGTTTCTGTGTCTCTATTACTAGTACAAGCGCCACATCGTTTTCACCTTGTCCTTTTTTTATTTCATTACACCAAACTACTTTTTGTTGTAAGTGAAAGTGAAAGATGTCACTGTGCCTTGATTCCTTCAAAATGCAATCTCAATTATAGAAAGAACCATCCGAGACAGTAAGCTCAATACTTAAAGGGCAAGAGTGAACTGCTCCCTGTCAGGCTCCAGAAACAGAGGGGATTGTGGTGGTGCAGATTTAGAACAGTAAGCCATCACATTCACAGCACCTCAACTGGCTTTCAATCCCCTGGTGTCCTTTCACTGTACTTAGCCCATCAAACACATTGTGAAAGTATATGAAATGGATACTAGACTGTACTGTACTACTGTAGGAAATTTTCTGTTCATTTGGGCCATATAGATATTTTATCCATCTCATCAGTTTGGCTTGCCTCATCAATTTACGGATCAGTGAAGTTAAATGCAGAGCCGCGGGAAGTAGGGGTGCTGAGGGTGCTTAGTGGACCGATATAGCCGTTTGCAGCGTGGACAAACCCCCCCTGTCGAAGAGAAAAATCGCACCACCCCCAAACTACTTCCTGTGGCTATGGTTAAACGTCTTCAGAGAATAAACCTCTCCGGTTTTCATAATTCTATACCATGCAGGTCTTAGATTATGCACACACTCCCACAGGTACTCTCACTGTGGATCTATACACTGAGTTTACAAAACATTAAGGACACCTGCTCTTTTCATGACATAGACTGACCAGGTGAATCCAGGTGAAAGCTATGATCCCTTATTGATGTCATCTGTTAAATCCACTTCAAACAGTGTAGATGAAGCGGAGGAGACAGGTTAAAGAAGGATTTTTAAGCCTTAAGACATGGATTGTGTATGTGTGCCATTCAGAGGGTGAATGGGCAAGACAAAATATTTAAGTGCCTTTGAACAGGGTATGGTAGTTGGTGCCAGGAGCACCGGTTTGTGTCAAGAACTGCAACGCTGCTGGATTTTTCATGCTCAACAGTTTCCTGTGTGTATCAAGAATGATCCACCACCCAAAGGCCATCCAGCCAACTTGACATAACTTTGGGAAGCATTGGAGTCAACATGGGCCAGCATCCCTGTGGAACACTTTCGACACCTTGTAGAGTTCATGCCCCTGACGAATTGAAACTGTTCTGAGGGCAAAAGGGGATGCAATATTAGTAAGGTGTCCTTAATGTTTTGTACACTCAGTGTTACTTTACTAATATATTCCATTGTGAGGGGTATTGTATCATGTAGTTTAGTATGATTGTACACTGAGTATACAAAACATTAAGAACACGTGCTCTTTCCATGACAGACTCAATGGCATATTATGACAGACTGATCAGGAGAATACAGGTGAAAGCTATGATCCCTTATTGATGTCACTTGTTAAATCCACTTCAAATTAGTGTAGATGAAGGGGAGACGACAGATTAAAGAAGGATTTTTAAGTATTGAGACAATTGAGACATCATGGATTGTGTATGTATGCCATTCAGAGGGTGAATGGGCAAGACAAATTATTTGAGTGCCTTTGAACGAGGTATGGTAGTAGGTGCCAGGCACACCGGTTTGTGTCAAGAACTCCAACGCTGCTGGGTTTTTCATGCTCGACAGTTTCCCGTGTGTATCAAGAATGATCCACCACCCAAGGGACATCCAGACCACTTGACACAACCGTGGGAATCATTGGAGTCAAAATGGGCCAGCATCCCTGTGAAATGCTTTCGACACCTTGTAGAGTCCATGCCCTGACAAATTGAGGATGTTCTGAGGGCAAAAGTGGGGGTGCAACTCAATATTAGGAAGGTGTTCCTAATGTTTGGTATACTCTGTGTGTATTCATAAAGGTAGTGATCTTGAAAGTCAATTTCTTTTCAACTGTATGCATAGACCTAACCCAAACATATAACATAATTGTTTGTATAAATGTATGAATCAGTGCAAGTGGAGCTTCTGATTAGAGATGACAAAATCCTTGATTTTAAAGTTCATTACTTCATGGCTTTCGTGTGATAAAATACATACTGTACTGCACTGCAGTAGTTGACATGAGAGAGTGCTAGGTTCCATGGTTTTGACAGCTCAATTATAACAGATGATGGGGCATGACAAGTAAGTGACAGCAAGAGGATTTAGGAAGTAGTATCAGTCTAAACCTAAAGTACAACAGAGCAAGATGAAGTTTAGAGAGAGGTTCAGCAGAGTCAGTGAGCATGGGGATCAATGTTGGATATCTTCAGTGTGAATACTATATGGTGTGTCCCAAAGTGCACCCTATTCTTGGCCTATATAACCCCAAAGGGCTGGTCAAACTAGTGCACTACATAGGGAATAAGGTGCCATTTGGGACATAGATAATGTTCACTGATTCAGGATGAAGCAAATGTCGCTCAAAGTCCATATGGAGCATCAGTTTAAGAATATGTTATTGCCTGAGAGCTTTGATGTGAATTAATTTGAAGGTAATTACATTTCCATCACTTCCTGTGGTCCGGGACTCAGGTTTGCTCCTTTGTCATCAGCTTCCTTTGTGACGTGATCTTCACTATCAGAGCTTTTTATGTGGAGTGATATTAGGACTTGATGTTCCTAGCAGGTATATAGTCTTTATGCCATTTATTTAATTAGCCCATGACAATAAGAATATTAAATCACGGGTGGTTTATATCAGCATAATAGGTTGAAAGACTGTACATGTATGTATGAAAGGTCAGTGTAGAATTAGGCTCATCCACCACCCGACTCTCTCTCACTTAGTCTGGGGACAAGGTTAATGTAGAATAGGTTAAATGTAGAATAGGATCTTACTATTTTGAAATATGGGAATGGGGGTATTGAAATGTAAAAAAATAAATAATAATAATATTATAATTTGCTTTGATCAGTAGTCCTAATATGCACAGACTAGACTGTTGCTTTGCACCACAAATGCCTTTTCCATATCCCCGGCACAATGCACCAAATTATCCCACCAAAATTAAACACACCAGAATTTCTCCTATAATGAATAACATTAGCTACCAAAGACTGGATGACAATTACACTGCAGACCTTA